GAGCCCCATGTGGCTCGCGAGCTGCAGTTTACCGACCATGGATCTAGGAGGCTTGGGACACAGAGCATCCATGTGCATGCAGACCTTCGGGACTTCCCCGGTGGGGGGGAGGGAGGGGGGACACGATGAAGCGCCAGAGGAAGGCACTGAGCAAGCAGGTTGATCAAAACACATAGCGAGCACCACGCTAATGGCACGGGGAATGTGCTGATGGCAGCTGGTGAATGCGGAATCCTGCACTGGCTCTGGAGAGCGTAAACCTTGCTGAATCTGAGACCCACTTGAACTCTCTGGAATCAACAGCGTGACCGCCGGGGACATAACCCAGCATGTGCTCCAGGTCCCCTAAAGCCCTCTCTCCACGGTTCACAGGACACATGAGACAGAGGCCAGAGGAGCATAACCAAGATGTTGAAGGGACTCCACCCAAAGAGGAGCAGGTGTTTAGCCGAGAAACTCAGAAGAAACCAGGACTCCACCCTGAGCACCTCCAGGGCCAACGCGGAGAAGGACCGATTCTGTGGGATCCAACAACCAAGGAGCTCGAACCACGAGAACACGGGTCTACTTGGGTGCAAGGAAGGTCATTCCAACAGGGAGAGTAACCCAAAGACACAGAAGTGGTGAGTACTCTGCCGTAGGAGCTGTTAAACTTACACTTCAAGTGAGCACTTATTGCAACCTTTTATGCGTACACAGATACATTTTTTACACATCGATGTGCGCCCTTCCTGGACTGGAAATTCCCTGGACTGGAGAATTACATCCCGGAGTCCAGCGCGAGCCCTTCCCCATGCTACGTGCTCACTAAACGTTACTCGGATGAAAGAACTGATCCCGGCTGGATGCCACCGGGCCTGCTGGGCAACAGCAGCTCCTGCCACCTACGTGCTAATGTTCCCTCTATACAACCGCTCCTGCTGTTTCTGAAAAGCCGCACGTAAACCAGTTTCCTCTGGAGACGCAGTCAACCTCTGCATCGTCACAGGCCATTTGGAATTTAGAAATGAGTTATTTAATTATTACGTGTGACAGTCAATAGTAATATTAGCCCTGGTTTAAAATTTGGCCTGGAATTAAGTGAGTATGAGGCCTCATAGAAATGTGTATTACATCTGACCCTTCCAGTCGTGACCCAGCTCAGAGACTTGCCCCCAGGCCTCCTTTCAAGTAAATGTCCCTGCTCCTTCCACGGTGTGTGTGTGTGTGTGTGTGTGTGTGTGTGTGTGTGTGTAGGTGGGGGGGCCCTTACTGACTCACAGGCTGGAGTCACCGCCCGGAGGTGCAGGTCGCCCACCACCCGTGGCTGGCTGTGTTTCACCTCCAGCCTCATCCTGTCAGAGGCCTGGTCTAGCCGAGACGTTAACCCAACAGGCTTTGACAGAGCATCCGTTGCAGTTACCAAGGTGATCGATGCACATCACATCCTCCTTAGGAGCCACCCAAACCAAACCAATTCTCTGGGGTTCATGAATCAGAACCTGAAACTCTCCTAAAATCGGAGGCAGCTTCCAAAGTCCCATCCCGCCCCAGTCCCCCTATAGGAGTGGACACGCTACAGACATGCATCCAGGGGAGGGACCCATGTCGCTGAGAAGCATTTACTGTACAGCGGGCCCTGTCTTGGGGGTCATCTCCTGTAATCGCACAGCGACCCTGTGGGGTGATGCTAGTGTTCCCATTGCACAAACAAGGAAAGGGGATCTCACACAGCTGCCCGGAGTCACACGGGTGGTAAATGGAGAAGCCAGTGCTGAACTCGGGTCTGTTCAGCCCCAAAGCTGTGCTGTTTTCCCACACAGCAAGCAGAGCCATCTTAAAACAAAGCCAGTTCTGGACACTCCCTTGTCAACATGCCCCGGTGACTTTCTCTCATCCAAACTTCTGCAGGACCCTGCCTATCCTTACCACACCCCCTATTCTTTTTGCCCTTTTCCTCCTTCCAGGCCTCCTGGCCTTCCTCCTCTTCCTAGGAATCACCAAGTCTCTGACTCAGGGCCGCCCTCTACCCAGAATGCTATTCCCCAAGACCTCTGCAGATCCCTCCTTCCTCCAGGTCTCTGCTCCCATGCCGCCTCCTCAGGAGGCTATTCCCAACGGCTCTATCAACAAGAGGCCTCTTCCGTCACCACTCTCTAAGCAGCCCTCACCCAGCAGCTCACATTTCCCAGCAGCTCTTTCCAGGGCCTGAGCACATCTTTGGCCTCCTGACAGCGCCCCCACTGGAATGCAAGCTCCAGGGGGACGGGGGCTCTGCATCACTCACTGCCGCACCCCAGGTCCAACACCAAATTGGGTTGCTCTCTGTCCTCTCCCTCTGCCGCCTCCATCTGGTCCCAGCACACAGAGGCCTGCTCCACAGCAGCTGGTGACCTTGGCCAAGTAACGTCAGCTCTCCAGAGAAACTTTCCATTTACTGCCCGTGGCCCTGACAAAGAAGGGACTGATACCGCATCTCCCCCACCCCCCAAAGACCGCATCACCCCCTCGCTCTGATATTTGCTAGTTTTAGAATTTTGTGATTTTTATCAGAGAAGAGACATTTGGTGCAGCGGTTGAAACAAAAAGATAATTATACTTCACAAAGAGAGAAAAAAAGCCTTAGAAACAGCCAATTGTCTGTTTATTGTGAGACTAGACAATTCATTCATTTAATGCCTCCCAGAATCTTTTCAAAGCAGATGGAATTGGGCGCTCATTAAAGCGGAGTTATAAAAAGCTGTGTGATCCCAGCACTGAGCCAACCAGAGGGCTTCGCAAAGCAGAATTTCTGAGCTTCCACCAACACAAATCTCCCGGCTAATCCGGGGATTGAGGCAGAAGCTAGTCCTAAACCAAGAGAAGGCCCTGTGTTCAACATAAAAGTTTCTAGAGATAAAATCATCTCTGTTTGGGGAACTTCACTCTCCTCCCTTCATCAGTAATCCCCGCCCTGGAAGGTGGCTCACTTTCCTAAACCTTCTGACATTTCACAGAATTTTGTAAATAAACAGAAGGTCTTTCATTTCAAATCCTCTTGATGCTGTCTATCTGAACATTGTTTTCTTAGTGGAAATCCCTACTGGCATCGGAGGGGTTTTTGTTTACTGACTTGCTGAGTTTTCCCCTCCCTTAACACTTAAAACACTTCAAAGAAGCTCTTGGCTTGGGCTCTGGCCTTGCTCAAAGGGTAACATACCACAGAGATAAGGGAACAATCTCCTGGGGAAATTTAAGCCAACCTCTTAGTTTACAACTTTTAACCAATCCATCCACCTCTTCTCCTTCTTACAAGGTGGGAGATGATGAAACTGCCCTGTGTGGCCAAGCACCAGGGCGGATACTACGTTGCCAAGGCTCCTACTACCCGTGTTTCCCCGAAAATAAGACCTAGCACAACTTTGGGAGAAAAAATTAATTTAAGACACTGTCTTATTTTCGGGGAAACAGGGTACCAAACAAGGGAGGAGAGTCCCAGTGCTTGGCCTCTGCAGGGAAGGTCACACAGGAAAATTACAAGGTGGGGGATCCAGTGGAGGGGTGCTCTGGGACGTGGGGCCACGAGGGTGCTGCTCAGCACACACTGCCCGGCGCCGTGTCCTCACTGCAGCCTAGAACATACTACCCCGTTTCCAGATTGTTCCCTTTACTCTCTGGTATTTGATCATAAGTTTCGAATATTCCTAAATGCTTTCAATCAGCAGACAGTATTCTTATCCTTTAGCACTAATGATAAGAGTTCACATTCTTTAGCATTAATGGTAAGTTTTTCTGCTATTCACACACACATGATATCCAGCTTCCTTCACAGGACATGCTAACAGCTGTCCATGCTAACGCTCACACTAAAAAAAAAAAAATAATAATAATAGTAATCTTTATGGCTTGAGTAAGCTTCCAAAAGGTTAAACAATAAATAAAAGAGAAAGAAGGCTGCAGGTAGTTTAGTGATATTGATGAGCATAATCGAAATTCCTGAGCCAGGAGGAAACCTTCCATGGGGCACGTACCTCTGGCTCACTGATACCATTCCAATGTGCAGTCTCTGTTGTGTGTGTGCACTGTTACTTCTGTAATTATTTAGATACTAGAGGCCTGGTGCATGAAATTTGTGCACAGGTGGGGGGCCCCTCAGCCCACCCTCTCCAATCTGGGACCCCTCAAGGGATGTCCCACTCCAGTGGGATCAGGCCTAAAACGGGCAGTCGGACATCCCTCTCATAATCCAGGACTGCTGGCTCCCAACTGCTTGCCTGCCAGATCACCCCCTAACTGCTCCCCTGCCAGCCTGATCGATACCTAACTGCTCCCCTGCTGGCCTGATTGCCCCTAACTGCCCTTCCCTGCAGGCCCAGTCACCATTAACTGCCTTCCCCTGCCAGCCTGGTCACCACAAACTGCCCTCCCCTTCTGGACTGATTGCCCACAATTGCCCTCCCCTGCCAGCCACCTTGTGGTGGCCATCTTTGACCACATGGGGGTGGCCATCTTGTGTGTTGGAATGATGGTCAATTTGCATATTACCTCTTTATTATTGTATATAGGATTCTGGTCAGTTTAGGCTCTATTCCTAAAATATGCCATTATTTTGCAAATACACTTTCCTTAAAGAACCATATTTGTTTGTTTTATTGTGTGTGTGTTTTTTATTGAATGTATTGGGGTGACACTGGTTAATAAACTTATATAGGTTTCAGGTGTACAATTCTATGATATATCATCTATATATTGCACTGTGTCTTCATCACCCAAAGTCACGTTTCCTTCCATCACCATTTATTCCCCCTTTACCCTCTGCTACCTCCCTCTACACCTTTCCCTCTGGTAATCACCATACTGGTGTTTGTGTCTAAGGGTTGTTTCTTTGTTTGTTTGTTTTACTTAATCCCTTCATCTTTTCACCCAACCCCCCCAACCATGTTTGTTTATACTCTGAAGTTTCAAAGAGGAGAAAGAAAACAGAGTATTATGTGCAGACTCTAACAACCCAGATGTGTGCATTTTTATGATATTCAACTTACTTTTTCATTCCACGCCCACAGTCCAATTCCAAGAAATGCTATTCCCAGAAA